CGTGGGGTTCTGCCCGCGAACAGCTCTGGCTCCTCTCGGAATTGGCGCCGTACGGACTTGGGAAGGTGTCCTTGTTTGCAGTTGAGGAATCGTGTAGGATTGCATCTTTAAATCTATGTAATGTAAAACTCTGCGTGTGAAAATGTTAAAGCCTGAATTTTGTTTTAGTTTGCCTTTGGATGGTAATTTCTTTATTTTTTTCTTTTAAAACATAAAAACTTTTAGTTCTGGGTGAAGTTTCGTGAAGCGTGTTTTTAGAAGTGCTGAAGGCAATAGTGCACCACCAGCTGCCTGTGTTTGCCATCAAAGCTTTGGTTTTGTTTGCCTCGTCCTCTGTGGTAACAGAGATGCCGCCCTCCTCCGGAGGGGGCAGTGAGCGGCCTTGTCAGGGTGACACATTTCTCTCCTCGTGCTGCAGCAGGACTGATTGCCCCTCAGAGCAGATCAGCGTTGGATCATACCGTGCTTAATCAGGCCTTGTGTTTGACTGCTTTGGTGCTATCTTCTTTGCCCTCTTCTTCTTCAGCACTTCCCATGTGCCATTCTGCTTCAGCGTATCCAGATTTTGGGTGTGGAGTGGTGTGACACTCAGTTCTGAGGGTTTATAAGCTGAGGGCCGTGTTGCATGGATTGTGCGTGCCTGCTGAAAATTGACGGGTACAGGGCATAATCTTGCTCTTTTCAGAGCAGATACATGTCTGTCTATACTGGCCCTTTGGTGAAAGAGAACAGTTGTGCTATAGTTAAATAGATGTTTGATAAGATGTTTTTTCCATTCCTTCACAACAAATGTGGAGTAAACATATATAAGAAAAAAAAATGTGGGTGTGAAAGAAATTATGACTGCAAGTTTCTTTTCAAAATAGAGTGGAAACTGTCACTTTCACTTCGGTGAACAAAAATGTTACTGTAGCAGAGGGTAAAAGGTCACAGGTAATGAGCCCTGGTGTTTGATATAAACTTCCCATTTGAAGTCTGTTATTTAATAAGTAAATATTTAACAGTAACTGTGAATGCTGTACAAGCAGTAGACTTATGTCAACATGCAGCTAACGTGCTAAAAGTCAATAGCCTTCTAAAATAGCAAACTGCAGAACTCTTCCTTCTATGTGTGCTGGGCACCTGAGAGTATCTGCTCTTGTGTTTCAAAATTATAGTGTGCCGGGAACTCCCTACAATTTCTAGAATACAGGAGGGCAGCAAATTAAAATTCTAATCATATTAGTGAGCTTTTATTAAAAATTTCCTTGTTACTTTACTACCTATTTTTGTAGCTGGAAATATGCTGTAATACTTGTCATTACTGGTAGGAGCCAAGCAGCAAAGGAGGTTGTTATTGTTGCTGAAGCATCTTAGTTTTTTCCTTTTTTGAAGGCAAACCAGAAATACAGCATTTTTGTTTGTTCACCCTCAAAATAATATGTGTGCAGCTAAGAATTTGTGAAGCACGTTTTGTTAAATATTTTGTCAAACATAGGACGCTGTTTGAATGGAAATTGGTAAACACCACACCATTGCATCGTATCACCAGATATGTTGAGTTCTTGGCTGCGCAACTATTGCCATTCCAGACCCAGAGCCAAGAGCTGAGCAGGAAGTTAAAAGTTTGGTTTGGAGTTGTAAAATAGGGAGATAATCTGCTCCTATTGTACAGCTGATCCAGACTGTAATGGGCCAATGCTCTACTGAATTATTTTAGTTCTGTGTTGTTTTAGAAACAAAGGCGATGGACTAAGCAAAATGGTTTGAATGTAGTAGTATTAGAAATTAGGGCACCTATTCTAATTACTGTTGAGTTTTATGAAATAGCTGTTAAAAAAAAGAAAAAATGAAAGAATAAAAGGAAAAAAAAAAGAGCGAAACTAATATACTTTAATCCAAGAGGGCCCATGACAGTAATTTACTATGTGGTGTAATGCTGCATAGAGTTCTCACAGATATTTGCATCTATGCATAAACTGCTCTGTTTTGTTGATGTAGTGAAGTCAGAATTTTGCTAGTGCAAAGCTGGTGAAAACCTTAGTAGAGGAGCTGGTGCATACTGTCCTTGCAAATGGACCTGACATTGAATTATTACTGAACCATGTAGCTGAGCTACTTTCAGAGAAAATGGTGTGTCAGTAGTTCAGTGTGAAATAGAAAGCTTTCACTAAAACAGAGTAGGCAGAGGAGACCATAGCATAGCAGTTGATGACACCAGTCATTTATTTGTATCTTACAAATAAGATCCTACAATCTTAAGAAGGTCTACCTGAAAAATACACTTGAATGAGAATGACTCTTCAGAGACATGTAATTTATCAGCCTTCAGAATAGAATTTCATGGTCGCTAAATTAAAATTTCATTTGTCTCTAGAATGGAATATATTGAAAGCTGAAATACTTCTGATCTTGCATCCAAAAAGAGTGGGAATGAAATATCCATATAACACTAGTCTGGTTATAGAGCAGCTCTGGTCTTCAGACTGAGCAGATTGCTTACTTCCTGGTGTGTTACAAGAACAGTTTAATGTTGGCATTTTTTATAAAAGTTTTAACAGCCAGAGAGCTGAATGTGATTTGCAGTTTACTAATTAGACTAAACTTACCTTTTCATGTGTTTTTGATCTCTCTAGGTTGGCAGCCTCGGTGGTTTGTTTTAGACAATGGGATATTATCATACTATGATTCACAGGATGATGTTTGCAAAGGCAGCAAAGGAAGTATAAAGATGGCTGTGTGTGAAATAAAAGGTAAAAGTTAATAGATTTCTGCTTGAGGAAATTTTAGCTGCCAGAGAAATAGAAAGTATCACCCACCATACATTCTGTGTCATAAGTTTTTCCTCTTCTGTTTTTGTTTATCTGTAGTTTTGTGTGACTGCTTCATAGTTCACAAATAATAATGAACTTGAGTTATGAAGTGGTGGTAATGTTTTTGATAGTTAGAGCTCTGATTTGAGATTTAGAACCCCACATACTTTGATCAGCATTTAATAAATAATTGTTACCAAGTTGAGGTTATTTCTTTTTTTCAAAATTGTCTGATTTTTTTTTTCCTCTTCTGTTATAAGTTCATGCAACAGACAACACAAGAATGGAGTTAATCATCCCAGGGGAACAGCATTTCTACATGAAAGCAGTGAATGCAGCCGAAAGGCAAAGGTGGCTGGTAGCCCTTGGGAGTGCAAAAGCCTCTTTAGCAGATACCAGAACAAAAAAAGAAAAAGGTATGTGTGTTACCTAGTCCATATACAATCTAACCACTTTAAAATCCTTGTTTTCAGCTAATGATAATGCAAATACTGTGATAGGAAGTCAGTGTTACTGTCTTTCAGTATAAATAATAAACATTTCTAGTCATCTATATGGTAAATTCCCCCTTGATGTTTGAATTAGAGTTCACCTCCAGTGACATCTGTCTTAAGATGCTGAAACACCAGCAACTTACTGGCATTACAAGAGCAAGCATACTGTTTGTAGCTGTTGTGAAACCACTTAGTTTCTGCTGTTTTGATTTCTCTCTGTTGCTTTTGTTTTTTAAATAGTTTTGCTTGAATGGCTTAATGTAACTATTTCCAGCCACTCTGGTGGGTATAAATCTCATCCACTACGCTTTTTCTGTATGACATTGCAGCTAAGAAAGATTTCAACTTTTATTTCCTGGTAATGTGCCTCTTTCTGAATGGTTTTTAAATTAGGATCACTTATACCAAAGTACAAGCTATTGTCTGCTTCAAGTACAATCCAATTTTCCCCCAAATTAAGTGAAAGTTGAAGTGAATTTTTAAATTGGTATTTAAATTTAAACGAAAGGTGCTTAAAAATTGAAATGTGTGCATCCATTGTATGCAATAAATTGTTATGTTCTTTAATTTTTGTAGAAATAAGTGAGACCAATGAATCTCTTAAAACCAAAATGTCCGAACTTCGTCTCTACTGTGATCTTTTAATGCAGCAAGTTCATACAATACAAGAATTTGTTCACCGTGATGAGACTCGCTCTCCTCCCAGCACTGAGGTACAGAATTTCTAGAATGTCTTGGAGAACCTAATTATATAATACACTTCATGTTTCTGTTGACATGTCTTTTTCATCTTGCTGATATTGGGAGGTTTAACCTTAAGCCAGTTTTTGAGTTCTTGTTTGTGTATAGTACTAAAAGTGATTGTAAGTGCAGAGAGTACCTGGATGATTTCACCCCAGTTGTAACATGCATTAGGTTGCAGTTAGTTGTGTTAAGTCACGTGGTTAAAAGGCCAGAAGAGCTGCCACGAGTTGCGCATTGATTTAGTTCACATCTCTCTTATGGGCAGAGTAGTTGAAACAGTCTTGTTCGTCCATTCTTTGCTCTTTTGTGTGGGAGGATATTCCATTTTGTTATCAGTGAAAGCTAGTGTTAGAGGTATTGGAAACCTGTAAACAAGTAGTATTTCTGCTTTTGACCGAAAGTTAGCACTGGAAATTATGAATGGCTTCATTCTTTACACTGTTATGCAATGTGTGGAAAATGCTGTTGCCCTCTTAGCATGATGCAAGGGATTGATGCTAAGTCACAACAGGGCAAATTGTCAGGGTACAGAAAAATGAAGCTGACCTGCAAGCTCCATGCACTGGAGCGGTGGAGTTGTTCACCTGTTCTGCTGCAATTCATTTGTTTCGTGGAGTGATCTGCTGGTACCAGTGAGAAACTCTGAGATGAGATTTGCAATAAAAATATTATGGCGTTGGCTGCCATCCTAAAGAAATTCATCGATCAGGAAGAAATTGTAATGGCTGTCACATTTGTTTGCATAAATTAACCTCATTGGAAGGTGTATGTTTGATTAAATAAAATAGGAAAGGGAAATTTGTAGCGCTGATGTGAGAAAATCAGTATGTGTGTGAGTGACGGTGGGGAAGAGCTGTGTTTGCATATTTTTTTTTTTTTTCCTTACTTATGCTTGTGCTTTCATTTATTTTCAGAACATGAATGAAGCCTCTTCCTTGCTTAGTGCCACGTGTAATACATTTATCACAACACTTGAAGAATGTGTGAAGATTGCTAATGCCAAGTTCAAGCCGGAAATGTTCCAGCTGCCTCACCCTGATCCCTTAGTTTCTCCTGTGTCACCATCACCTGTCCAAATGGTTTAGACATTTTGGAATACTATTTTTTTCTACGTGTCATACTGATGGTTGGATGGGGGGAAGAATAGCAGAAGACTATGCTGTTGCTATATGCTATGATGTCACCAGTTGAAATCTTGACTGTTACAGGCAGTACTGGTCCTAAATATAAATCACTAATTTTCCATTCCCAGTCTTTGCTAGCCTTTATCTAATCAGAGTAGCTTATTGTACATGTCAAGACCCTGTAAGGACATACCTTGTAAATGGATGAGGTTTAATTTTCCCTCAGTTCGGCTGTTTCTGTGTTTCTTAGAATGCTAGCTGTACACTGTCAAAAATTTTGTAACCTGGCCTCCTATTTAAAAAGAGAAGTGGCTTGAAGCACTTCAACAAGATAGCATTTATTTCAGTGTATCTAATTGAGAATGTTTGTGTTAATCTAACTTGCCCTTATTTAAGAAAGGGTAAGTAATGGTAAAGATATTACTTGCAAAACTCTTCACTACTGATTATTTCCCTTAGAAGTACAGTGTGTGTAGAATGATGTTAAATGCCTTCTCGATCATATATATAGATTCCAAGATGATCTATATTGTGGGATTTTGCTGTGGGAATTTTGCACTTGGATCTCTTGTCTCTTCATCTTCAGTCAGTTTTCTTACAAAGCTGATCATTATTAATTTAAATTACCTTTTTTTTTTGATATGCATGGAGATTTGACAGTGATATCAGAAGAACCACAAGGAGTTAAGAGGCCAGATTTGGCTTTATTTTATAATGGAGAATTTAGGTTGGCATTTGGTAGAGGAAAAATGTCTTGATATTTCTGTCTATCTTAGCAATTAACAAATGGCTCTGTGAGTAACTTTGGGGCACGAGAGAGTGAATTCCATAGAAACTAGGCAGTATTTCTTGTAGCAAACTATTTCCTCTGTGAAGGCTTTGAAATTCTCCTGCTGTCAATGGCAATCCATCCTATTTCATATAGTTAGATTTTTAACTAAGAATGGTTGCTTTTAATTAAAAAAAAAAGCCTTCTCTTTGTAGAGGCTGTAAATAAAAGTAATGTAGGTATGCATATTATTCTTAGAAGTAGCTTCTGACATTTTTGGTGTAGTTCATTGTTTGGATTTCTTTTTCTTCCCACTAGATGAAGCGTTCCATTAGCCACCCCGGTCCTTGCTATACAGAAAGGTAATTTTCTGTTTCATTAAGCTCTTTTGTTATGTCTCAAAAAACCTCCCTAAATCTGCTAGGATAAAAATCAAAATTTGAGGAGAATTGTTTGCTTGGGGAAAAAAAATAAACAGCATAAATTGATCTAATAGTGAAAGCCGAGGGTACAGATTATTGGTGTCAATGGCGGATATTGCAGCTGCTCTCTCTAATGTACTATAAAAATTTCTTCATGCTAAAAAGTTTATGCAGATAACATTCTGACAAGTTCATAAGATTAGACTTAGAGCTTGAAATTCTGGTATTCTTTTTGTATCAGTGTTTCAGATTCTTGAGTTCTCATTTTCTTTTGTGTACAAAGATTGTATTATGTTTTTATTTCCATTTTCAGACTTTATAATTGTGAAAATTATCAAGGTCTGTGGACTGTGCCATTTTGAGTATAGTGAACAACATCAATACTAACAGTTTAAGCACCAAAATTATTTTAAATTTCAAGTGTATTCAGTTTGTGTTGTTACAGATTTTGCCACTAACAGTTCTCACTTCTTTTGTAGGAGTAATCACTCTGTAAAAGAACCAATTTCATCCCATCACCGATTTTCGCAGCGGCGCAGAAGAACATACTCAGATACAGAATCTTACAGCGATACTCCCTCTGAAGATTCTCAGAGTAAGTTTGGAAGAGGGGTGTTTTTCATTCATACTTTTCTGTGCAATTTATTAGCCTGTTTACAGCAGGTGTTTCCAGCACAAGGAAAAAAGGTTTTTTTAGTTAATGCAAAGGTTTTTTCCTAAGATTCCAATATTATAAATCAAAGCCCTTGTGTTCTGGTTTAGTTTTGCTTCCTTTCAGAGTGCCCAGTGCCTCACCTGGGTTGGAAAAACCTGAGGCCTGTGCATTGCTGAAAGCCCATGTGAGCACAGAATATGACTGCACCTCACAGGTTCCTGTCCTTCAAAATACAAAAACCATTGTGTATAGGAAAATGATAATTTGATTTATACTAGCTGGACATTCTTCATATCCATCATCCTTGGCCATGATATTGATTGAAATCTTTCAGGTAAAGTCCAGAGTAATTGTGCTTTTGATTGCTTATGTATAAGAAGTAGTTAGCAAATAGAAAAACTGACAGATTGGATGAGTGTTTTGGGGGTTGAAAATTAAATGCTTCCCAATATCATTGTAGGATCTGCTCACTGTTCTAGAAGTGCTGTCAATGGAGATCTGGTGTCATCAACCATTCCTGAAGAAAATAGATCAGCATCAAAGGAAGGATCTGAACTGGAAGAGACTCTTTCATCCTTTTCTTCCTGAAGAAACTGAAAGTATTCAATTTTCTATAAATAATGCTATGCAAAAGCTGCTGTAATTATACTGTTGTTATAGGAAGTAGTCATTTCCCTTTTTAGAAGGATTTCTCTGCACTTTATAGAATAACATAAAAACTATCTTTGAAGTGTATTTTATCTTTATATAGTTTATTTGCAAGAGTATTTTCCTAATATTTCACAGTTTGAATGTGCATTTTTAGAACAAGTGATGGCTTAACAGAAAAGCATCCACATTTGTAAATGTAGCTCTTTTTAAAAAGTGTGAAGGTCTGACTGATACATTAGTAAACCTGCAGGTTCTAAACTTCAGCAAAAATGTTTAATTTTTTTGGAGAAAATGCAACTTGTGCCATGGACCTCTTGGTCATTTGTACCAGGTCATCCACCAGGAGCTGTGATTAGCCCTGCAGTGGCTTTTTTTTTTGCCTGTGTAAGGGCTGTGGAAATGGGCACTAATGGGGTCTTCTCTAGCAGCTTGATGGTATTTGACATTGCCTTCTTTAAAAACACAAGGATATATATATAATCCGGTCCTTATTTTTAGCCAACGAAAGTAGAAATATTTAGTGTATTTTTCTAAACAAATGTATAAAAATAACTTAATATGAAGCATTTGTACCAAACATTGGATATTTAATAATTTTTATTTATTTGTTCTTTTTTGCATCAAAAATTTCTACCTACTTTCACTACTAAAGATCTCAAGATCTACTAAAGGCTTCAAGATGTGCGAAAATTGTTCGGGGGTGTGTAGCATCACAAGTAGCTAGTGCAGCACTGTTAAGATTTACTCCGCACGTGTAGGACGTGTTTTTAGCAAAGTGTTACAGAAGCAAGAGCGGAATTCTTAGGCCATTAAGCTGCTGTTCTAATGAATATTTGTATCTATACATATTTTATTTATGACATATTTATACAAAAAGCAGCTTCTGTTTTTGTGACTCCTTTATCTCATTTAGGGGTGGGGTACACCAGGAGATGGATTCTGCTCTCAGTTACATCAGTGTAAATTTGCATTACCTGTGAGATCGGAGTCTGAGTCTCTTAATAACTATTGAGTAACGTAGTCTATAACAGTGCCTACTAGCACCTTGGTCTGGAAGGTTGTTGGTGTTAGCGTTGTAAGCTTTTGGGGATTTTTGGGGTATTCATTTTGGGATAAACTTGGTCTATAAAGTCTTAGCTGTAGAGCACTTTAAGCAAGCCATTTACTGTTTTTGATTTATACAATTGTTAAATAAATGTACAGGGTTTTTTGCACTCAAGCACATACCAAAATCTGTTTTTGTAATCAAATCCTCTTTAATTTGGTTTAACAAGTCTTCCTTTTGTCTGTATTATTCACTTTGGTGTTTTTGAGGTAGGCCGGAAAGGACAACTGGGAACGGAATGAAAGTTTTCCTTTTAAATTTCCGGAATGTTGATTTATCTAAATGAAAACAGGTTCAAATGTTGAGAAAAAACATATGAGCCCATATTTAAAATACCAGTTTATAAACCGTGATGTCAGGGTTGAATAGAATGGAATGGTTCGTACAAGTAAAGTTTTTTTTTTGTGGATACCAGCTCAGAGCTGTCATTTGTGCTCAGTTCTGTCAGTTTTCATGCAACTAGCATTTGCGTTTGCATATCAGCCACGTGCTTGTACCTTTTTTTCCTCAATGACTGCTTTAGTGTGTTCTGTATGACATGACACTTGTTAAAGTGAGTATTAAAAAAGATGTTCAGAGAAGTAAAATACCTATTGCAGTGAGAGTGTTGTCTTGAATCATATGCTGCCTTAAAGCTCCTTTTTGAAATTTAACTGAGGTTTCTGCCAGGTTGTGCAGTGTTCTGTTACATGTCACATTAGCAAGTATCTTCTTCTGGCATTCAGCTACTCAAGAGAAAGTAGTTTGGACTCCACATTGTGAAAAAAAACATTCTTGAGACAGATCAGTGCATGTGTTGTAAATAATAATTTTAAATAATGCCAGGATTGTTCAGACAAAAGTTTTAATGATTAGATTCAAGCACAATATTTGCATATGATTATTTCAGTACTGTTTTTGGTTTCTCCATGTCGCTAAAGCTGGAATGATGGTTTGTGTATACGTAGTATGTTCCTGCTAAGGTTAACTCAGGCCTTTTTATGTATGTAGCTGAGCCAAATGCTGCGGCAAAAATTCTAAAATGTATTCCAGTGAAATCAGTGAAGATGATGCACCGTCATACTTTTGGCAGCTGGTGCTAAGAAGTAATTTTTGAAAATGGTACTTAGCTGGTTGAATCACAATAGTCCATATGTAGTAAGACTAAAAAAATCTGCAGTCTCTCACATTTTCATTTCCAAGTTTAGGGAAGAGCTTGTCGGTGATGCCTAATTGTATCATTATTCTTCCTGGTGGAGAATGAGGGCTGAACCTCAACGTAGAATATGTAATTAGTACTTTGGGTTTTGATCTCGCTTCTGAAGAGATCAATCTGAAAACAGTTCTTTTTTAAAAAACAGTATTTATCACATAAAGGATATAAGAATATTACATATATTTAGGTGAAAAGTGGCAACTTCTAGTTACTGAGTTATATCTCTGAAATCCCTAACATCAGATAATGAGAAACGGAATGTGCTTAAATGGCTTACCAGCTTGTACTAAGGAATTAATGATAAGATAAAGAATTAATGATAAAGCACTCAGTACTTTGGAGATTTGTGAATACTGAGATTACAATGTTCAGGGGCTTTAAAATTCTGAAAATTAATGTGTGTAGTAAGTCAACTTGACTTTTTGTTTATTTTTTTCCCCAGTAAAAGCAATCTTTGGAATAGGAGTACTTCAGAGGTATACCTAAATGAAGGCAACAACTGTGCCTGAAAAATATTTTTGTCAGATATTCTTCATTATCCTGCTTTAAAAGGGATGTCTAATGCACTGACGTGGGCAAGCTTGCTAGAAAACAGCGTAAGGGCTAGCTCTTAAAAATAGTCTAAGAGAAATGCTTTAGCTGTGCTCTTCCCACTGTGTGCATACAGTCATGGTTCAAAGGTGCCATTTAGGAATTTAATTTACTTAGTATTTTGATAATTGTTAAGTCTGGATGAGCAATCTAGAATGTTATCTGGCAAGTGAGTACCTTAAGAAAGTAGTCAGACTGTTTCTCTGCTTTGCTGTCTGGTGCCACCTTTTTCTTCATGGTAGGACACCATCGTCATGGCTGTTTATGCAAGGTACGCCCATGGCCATGCCTTGACTGTTCTAACCAGCACGCATATGGGAGAGAAAGCTAACGGTGGGAGCACAACTGTATTTTATGGCCGCTTTAAAAAAAAAAGACACACCTCCCTCATCTTTTTTCAAAGGGAAGTGCAAACAGCTATGTGCCAGACTGTCAGTTATAGATGTCACAGGTAATACTTTAAATCCTGTCAAGTCACAGGATATACGAGTGTCTCCTCCTTTTCCCTGCATTGCATATTTTCTTGTGCTTAATACTGCTTTTGCATCTTCCCTTCCTCAGTACGCTCTGTAGGCTGCGTTTTACACAAAGTTTGGGTTTGGGTTACAATTGCAGAAGCGGGTTGTAATTACCTTACATGTGTCTGACTCATCTTTCTGCATGCTGACTGTCATTTTCTGACGTTTCTCTGTCATCCTGTCTCCCTTGTACTGCTGCTGTTAGTGCTATGCCATGTTTCACTGTGGGAGTGAATGATTTATTTTTGACTGTGTCATGCTTTGATTTTTTTAATAGGCATTAAATATTCTGATTTTTTCTCTTTAAAAAACCAAGCTCTGGAACATTATCATCTTCAAAAGAGGGGAATGAAAAAAAAATAACTAGGGAAGTTTTAGTTTTAATATTTTGTCAGAGATGTGAGGTTTTTTGTTCCGTTCATGAAATTTTCTCCCCTTGACGGGAAAAGTTGTTGAAACTGGAGATGATGGTAAAAATTGAAACGTGATGTTAAGACTGGGGTTTCTTGTCAGCTAGTGATAAAATTAATCTCTTTTTGTGTTATGGCTATCCACTATCACAGTTATTTTTTTCAGGCTGCCAAATGTAAAATGTTAATATAGAGCATATAGCCTTATAGTAGAATTTATACAGCAGCTCACAGAGTTTGTTAAAAAGCTTTTTCTTATGCACTGAGACACAGAAATCATGAAGTCCAAATGCCTTCACAGACATATCAGTGGTAGGATATTTGTCTGAATTTGGTCCTATAGTGCAAGAGATTTTATCTTTAAATATAGCAAATGTCAGCTTTTCTACAGTTAAAAATGCCAAAATTTGACCTGAATAAGCAAATAATTGGAAATGTTTGTTGCTCATTTTATGTTTATTTTTTTTTATCCAGAGACTGCTTAATGTATTATCTCCAAAACCAGTACTGTTTAGGGATGTGTTCTGTGAAACTGAGAATGGAAGCTTTAGGCTGTGACGTTATTGATGTCACTCTGTATTCGTGTTGGCCTAGCAGTCTTTTGAAAAAAAGGCACCGGCTCCCCTGGTCAGCAGGTAAACTTATCTATTAAAGCTGTGCTTCTGCAAAGCCTGTAAGTACTTTAAATCCTATTTTTTTAGGCATGTGAGTGACTCATGTGCTTAAAGTTAGGTATGCTTGCTTAAGTACTGGGCAGGGTTGGGCCAGAGAGGTAGAGGCAGAATGAACTTGCTTACAGTGCCACACCGGTGTGCTTGCCTCTTGATCATGTAAATATGTCCAGGCTCGGTAGAGGCCATGGAAGAGTGAGTTTCCAATAGCATCCGTGGAAAAGTGTCCATGCTTAAAGCTGCAGATGCTGTCTGTCACTATTACTTTCTGCTGAGATGACTGACTAGTACATTTTTAGTGTCAATTTGATTACATGCCTGTGTAAACAAGTTAGTTGATGGTTAAACGGGAGTGTACCTGTGCATTTTTCTGTCTTGCATTGAGCTTGTTGGGTCCTTTTTTAAATATCTAATAGAATTAGAATGAGAAGCTTTTAAAGTTTTGCTTTAAAAATTAAAAAAATGTCCTCTTTTTACTCCATTTTTATTATTTTTTACTTACCTCCTTAAGGAGGAAATACCATGCACTGTTAAGGTCTTTCATCTTCATGATTGTTTTTAAGTGTTTCCCGTTCCATGCTTTGAAATTATCTGGAACTTGGTCTGACCCAAAACTTAGCTCTTCTGAAGTCCTTATTTTTACTGTAGTCCTTATTTCACCCCCATTTATTAGCTTTCCTGCATCAGAAGTAGTATGCTGGGAGTCATAGTGGTGCATAGTGTTGCTAATTAATGCTCTTGTTACACTTCAGAGAATTTTACAGCACCTGAAGCTGTGTCGCATTGCTGTC